CTAGAGGCCTGGTGCATGAAATTCGTGCATGGGTGGAGTCTCTAGGCCTGGCTGGAGATCTGGGCCTATTGGGGCAGTGGCACCCAGTCCCATTCGGGGCCAGGCCGACTGGAGCCTGCTGGCTGCCAGCTGCCAGTCAGGGCCTTCCCGCTGCGGGGAGGGACCTGCTGGCAGGGGGGAGGTTGGCTGTGGGAGTGCACTGACCACCATGGAGCAGCTCCTGTGTTGAGCATCTGCCCCCTGGTGGTCAGTGTGCGTCATAGCAACTGGTCGTTTCAGTTGTAACGGTCGCTTAGGCTTTTATATATATAGATTACATTCTTTTTATTTTTTCTCCTCCGTCTTTTAATTCCCTGTGCCTTTTACACGTGTGGCAATCTGGTCAGCCCAGCCAGCTCCAGTGTCAGGAGGGACGTGACTGGTGGGACGGCCGGGAGAGGGGCCAGGCATCTCCCTCGCCCAGTGGTGCCAGGCCCGGAGGTAGTCAGAAAGGATCAGATTGCATTTACAGGGCAGGTGACTCCGGCAGAGCCCAGGCCACCTGGGCTGCGGAGGTCTCTGCATCCCTCTCGGACGTGAGGGTAGAGCCACAGGGTGACGGAGCCTCAGCGTTCTGCCTGGCCTAGAAGCTGTGCTTTGCCCTTGAGCCTGGTGGGAGCACTCACAACAAGGCCCTTCCTGGGGGGTGTCAGGTGACACGACTCCCTCCAGGGCAGCCCCCACCGCCACACAGAAGTGCCAGGGGCAGCCCTGCCCTGGCCTCGGGGCCCACCTGCCTCTCTTGTCCACAGAAGCTGCGCCAGGACATCCTGCTCATGAAGCCATACTTCATCACCTGCAAGGAGGCCATGGAAGCGCGTCTGCTCCTGCAGGTGAGACGCCCGCCCAGGGGGGTGTGAGGGCAGGTGGGAAACAGCCAGACAGAGGAGGACCCATCACGTGCAGGTCTTTTCAGATGGCTCGGCAATTTGTGTTGGCACAACAGCCTCTAGCAGAGGGTCTTCCACACTGTCCCAGGCAACACCAGGTCTGTCATGAGCAAATAGGCATTCTACCCAAAATGTTCTCTGATCACACCAGTGTGTAGGGCGCTGTGAGGAGCGGGCAGCGTCCCTGCAGCCTCTGCGTGACTCTCCATGACGCGGGCCAGGCACAGGCCTGCCGGGCTGGGTGGACCACGAAGCACACTTTTCAAGGCTGACCTCTTCGTTCCGCCAATATTCACTGAGTGCCTGCTGTGGGCAAACACTGTTGTAGATACTGGGGCACAGTGAACAGAACAAGATCCTTGCCTCATCTCAGAGGGGGCCCTTCAGGGGGGAAGATAAGAAAAATTAGCTGTTCATGAGGTCGGTGAGGTCTGTGGACAAGAGGAGGCAGAGAAGGGGATGGGAATGTTGGGGTCAGGACGGGAGGAAGAGCTGTGTGCCAGGCAGAGGTGGGGTGCGTGGGCAGCAGCAAGGTGGCCAGTGTGGCTGGAGGGGCTGACGCCTGCTTCTTCCATGAGCTCCCAGGACCCGGACGGTGGGTGGGCAGGGGGAGGGGCCCTCCTGGGGCTTGGAGTCATGGCTGCTGGACCCGTAGCTCCAGGACCGGCAGCATTTTGTGGAGAACGATGAGATGTACTCAGTCCAGGACCTCCTGGATGCCCACACCGGCCGCCTGGGCTGCTCGCTCACTGAGACCCACACGCTCTTCGCCAAGCACATCAAGCTGGATTGTGAGGTGGGTGCCCCACTGAGGACCAGCCATCTCTCCTCGTCCAGCCCCCAGGGCAGGGAGGGTGGTGCGTCCTGGCTTCAGATGCCCTCTGGAGCAGCACTGACTTGCTCCCACCCCTACCTCCACCCCCACCCCCAGCGGTGCCAGGCCAAGGGTTTCGTATGTGAGCTCTGCAGAGAGGGTGACGTGCTGTTCCCCTTCGACAGCCACACATCCGTGTGCAGTGACTGCTCCGCTGTCTTCCACAGGTGGGTGTGGCCCCACTCCACCCCCAGCCACAGGGAGAGGGATGGGGAAGATGTTTGGGGCTTGGTCTTTGCTGCCTGGTTTTCAAAGCCCTTTGCCTTGATCCTGAGATAGGGAGTTAGGCCCTGATGTGTGTGCCTGAATTGCAAGATCCACTGGGACAAGCACCTGTGGGGCTGGGGAGGGCCCAGTGTGAGCCCCACGGCTGTCCTGCTTCCCTATCCCCAGGACTGAGGTGGGCCTCTCGGGGTTAGCATAGGCCATGGTGTCCTAAACCTAGTTCCTGCACTTCTAATGTCCGAGTGATATTTTTTCCAACTTCTCTAGGCTGAAAGAAATACCTAACATTTTGTTCATTAAGTATTTAGGTTAAACAACGTAAGCATTTATGAACTAAAGACTTGCTGAATGTTTGGGAAAATAATACACATAAATTGGAAGAAAGTATTTTAACTGTTTAAGAAGCATAATTACTAATAATAGGAGCCTGCCTGCTGGGCCCTGCACAGCTTCTCACAGTGGCCTCAGATGGGACAGCGGCCCCCGCTTCTGCCCACACTGGGTGTTTCCTGCCCCTGGCTGTTGTCATTGCAGCAGCTGACGTCACAGCTTTGAGAACTGGGGTTGCTGTCACAGGAAGGGTTCATGTTTAAGCTGTGAAGTCCCTTGAGCTAGCAGTTTGCATGGTGTGTGACATGTCAAATGCTGCTGTGCCCCCTTCAGAAATTTAGCCCACGGGCCCCTGTGCCTCCACAGTGCCTGGGGCAGAGTGCACAGTGGTGATGGGGCAGGTAGGGTTACCGAGACTCGAAGAGATCCAAGCCAGACTGTCCTTGTCAGACATTGATAGGTGCCAATCACAGGCCCAGCAGGCACTTGTGGTACAAACCCTGCTGTGCCCTTTGGAAGACACTGCCTCAGTTTCCCCAACTATAGAGGGAGCCTGGTTAGGAAGCTTGAGGACTCACTGCTAACATCTTCTATGCAGAGGCCGTGCCCTGTCCCCAGGGTCTGACCCTGTCTGCCTGTCACTGTCCCCAGGGATTGCTACTATGACAACTCCACCACGTGCCCCAAGTGTGCCCGGCTCATGTTGCGGAAGCAGTCTCTCTTCCAGGAGCCTGGTCCGGACGTGGATGCCTAGAGCCACGGGCACCCCTCCCAAGCCTTTCTGGAGCCCACCCTACTGGTCATTGCCAAAGTCAAGGTGTTTCTTGTGCTCTGGACACCCCTGGGATGCAGCCCCTGGACCTCACCCAGGGGCCAGAGGGTGAAAGCACCACAAAGACCGTCAGCCCCCGGTCTTGCTGGGACTCAGGGCTGTGCCTGGCTGTTTCCTGCGTGTGCTGCTGTGAGGGCCAGAGTGTGCCCCCTACCACTGCAGGGCTCCATGGTCAGGGGCGTGGGGGAGGGTTTCCGTCTTCCCCATGGTGAAGAGCCCCCCCATGTCCTTGGAGCCAGACTGCTGGGTCTTGGCTACCCTAAAAACCCTGGAGGGCTTCCAGGGAGTGGCTAAGACCTGAGGACGCCGGCTGCACACCCTCAGCCTTGGCCTGAGACTCATCTGTAGTGGATGGTTGGGATCACCCTGGAGGCTCCTATCCCCCACCCCTTGTCTCTTTGGGATCTCCTGCCTGTTCCTGGCTGAGGCTCTTACAGGTGTCCCCCAAGGGCCTGGCCCTGCCTCTACGGTTCTCTCCTATAGATTAGAGGTCGACAGGGCCAGTCCAGGGGTTACCGGTTCTTTCTACACACCATGGAGGGAAGGGGCCGTGGAGCTCTTTCCCCTGGGGGACCAGCTGTGGCTCCTGACTCGGCCTAGCCCGGCTCACTCTGGTGCTCTGAGCTGGGTGGCTGGGGGTCCTGCCTCCAGGTGTGGCTCTGGGAGAGGTTCCAGAGGTTTGAGTGGCATTTCTGGGGACAAGATTTGCCCTGAGATGGTCTGTCCTGCTACAGTGCCTGTGGAGGATCCGGACAGCTCAAGGACCACCAGCCAGGGCCTTGTTAGGGACCCTGAGGTCAAGTGCTGGGAATATTTGCTCCAGTGAGTTCAGGCAGGAAGCCTAGAGTCCATGAAGGAAGATGAGCACGAGGAGTGTGACGCCCCATCTGACCAAGGACCCCGGACGGAGGATGAGGCCCACAGCTCTTCATGGGGGAGCTGCAGGCAACCTCGACATTTGCAGGGATGTTTCCTGCATCAGAGACCCTGCCTTTGAGGGGGCGGCCTGGGGGCAGTCTTTCCTGCCCTGCCCTGGACTGTGATTGGCTGTCACGGACAGGTAGTGGTGGTGGGCAGGGAACACAGCCACTGGGTTCCCCATCACCTTTGACTGGGAAGCCCAAGAGGAGAGGCTGCAGCCAGCAGAAGGGTCAGCTCAGCTTGTTGGCCATTGGCCGACGCAGGGGTGCTGAAGACTGTCATGGGGCGGCTTTAGGCGATCCTCTTGCTGTCTGCTCTGACCTGCCTCTGTGACAGCGAGAAGGGGGTCGACAGCAGGTCCTCAGCCTGCCTCTCTTGTAGGGTTGCAGAGGGTTTAACCAGTTAACTACCACGCGTCCAAAACGGAAGCCATCCCCACACGCCACAGTATTTTGAATTTAAAAAAATCAATTTGCAATGAATATTATAAAAATAAATATATTACAGTTTGAGTGTTCTTGAATATTTTCAGCTGAAAATTCTCACAAAAAAATGATTTTAAAGTTGGTCAGAGCTGCCACTTAGGGAAAACATTTTTTATAGACGCGCGTGGCGTGTGGGGAAGGTCCGCCGCTTGTGTCTAGATGCTTATGGCGTACAGGGGTTAAGGGCAGGTGCTCGGATCTGCACCTTTTCACAGCTGCACGTCTGTCTGGGGACAGAAGCCATTCCTGCGTTCATGTGTTAGGGTCAGTGTCCAGAAGAAACACTAGCATGCTGGCATTTGTCGGACAGAATTGGCTTTTTTAATTTATTTTTTTAGCTCCCTCAATTACCTCCTGCCCTAACACCTCTTCCCCACCTATCCCTTCTGGATGACAAAGTCTCCAGACAGAATCACATGTGGTCTTTCTGAGTCCACAGCACTCTAACAAGAACCCACAGAGGAACCAGTTTGCACAGCCAGCACCTTACAGAGGAGCAACGAGGGGCACCCAGCTGGAACGATGCTGCAGCCACTGTCTCATTAAATCTGTGATCTCTAGACTTTGCTGTGTGTGGTGAATCAAGGACAGGTCAGGGTTTGTTGACAGGCAAACCAATTGTGGGTTCTAGGAAAAGCCTACAACCTGCCCCACCCAATTGAGTCTCATTAATCTGGTTTGGGGAGAAGCACTCTTGATGGGTGATGAGCTCGGGCATGGGTGTCAGACATAGGCCTGAGTGCTCCGATTCCCTTCAGCCTCCATTATCCTATGAGATGGATGAGAATGCAGACTGTCTCATGGGCTGTTTGGGGGTTAGGAGTCACTGATCACTGAGCGGGGCATGCAGAGAATGCTCAGTGTCCTAATGGAAGGACTGTCTCATTGACCCAGCATCACAAGAACGTCACAGGTCCTGTGTCTGTCACATCTCGTTAGGGCCCACTACAAGGCTCTCACTGAAACTCAAGGCTATTCCCGTTACCCTGGGACCACAGGAAACCATACATCCCTACTGCAAGTTATGTCCAAACCGCTGTAGGTGTCCATTTTCCTACAGAGATAGCTGCAGATCTGACCAGGACCTCAAAGGGGCTGTGACCCAGAGAACCTCGGAAATCTCTGCTCATCACCTATGTCCAGTTGCAATCCAGATAAGCTGTCAGCAACCCTATTCCTAAAGGTTTGAACGGCACCTCAGCTACAAATAACTAAAGCTCTACTTTGGATATCGGGGAGGATGCAATCTTTTTCCCCTTTCAGGTTATGGAATAGTAATTAACATTTTGACTTTGACTTAGACTTGCAGGAACGTTGCAGAAACATTCCCACGTAGCTGTCTCCTGGATGGCCTACATGGAAACAATTTGCTCCATTTGGTTCATTCTTTTCTTCTCTGAACCACCTGACTGTAGGTTGCAGAGGACGCCACTTTGCCTCTCAGTACTTGTGTATATTCCTCCCAACCAAGGAAATTACCTTATATGGCCTCGGTGCAATTATCAGAAGACAACAAGAAATTAACATTGCTTAAGTTGTCATGCGTTATTTTTTAAAAAGTTACCTTTATCTATTTCTGGACTTTCTAATTCCAGTTCTGACTACTAAAGTGCTTTAATTACAGACCCAATGTGTTTTAATGTCTAGACGTGCTAGTCGCCTCATAGGTTTTTTTTTTCATGAGTATTCTAGAATGCAATCTTTTTTTTTTTTTACAAAAAAATGTTTTTATTGATTTTAGAGAAAAGGGGAGAGGGAGAGAGAGAGAGAAGCATTGATTGGTTGCTTCCCATAGGGCCTGGGACTGATGAACCCAAAACCTGGGAATGTGCCCTAACTGGGAATTGAACCAGCGACCCTTCAATGCAAGAGATGACACTCAACCGAGCCACACTGTCCAGGGCTCATGCAAATTTTTTAGAGCACATATTTAAATAAAATTTTAATGACAAAATTTGATACTCAAGTCTCAAAATTAAAATATCAGAAATAGGGTTTTCAGGGATGTTAAATCTCTGGAAGCAGAGAGACTTGGCTGAGCCTCATCCATTGAGGTCATTTTGTTGCTTCTGGCTTTACTTTAACTTTTGGTTACACACACTGAAAAACAACCTAAGATAGTTGCTTTAAGCGTCGCTTTTTCTCATTGTACAATTCCCTGTAGCAATTTATGGCACCACTGATGGCTCTCGAAGCTTTCAGTTTCCACTCATCATTGGGACTGCTACTGGTAAGGATCTGTAAGCCAGCCTCAAAATGTGAGAGGGCTGCGGAGAGTTCTCCTGTGGTTAGTTGACGCAGAACCGGTTGAGTGTCTTCACTCTCCTCCTCTCCTGCTGGCCCCTGTTCTAGCTGCGTCAGCTCCTCACTAGAGAGAGCTCCTCGTGTGACTGTAGCAACTGGTCCACGTCAGCTCCACAAGCTCTTCAAAAGCCAGAGTCCTGGCAAGGGTCATAATGCTTTTTGAAGCTGTGCAATGTTATCTGTTTGGGAAAAATTCTGGAATTGAACACACTGGGGCCACATTTTCTTCCACACACTGTTCATTGTTGCTGGCCTGAGTGCCTCCCAAGCTACTGCAATGTTGTCTACAGCATCCAAGATGTTGTAGTTTCTCCAAAACTCCCTGATCGTAGCTGTATCCTCCCCATCTGTTGCTTCTAGCTGGCATGTGCGCAAAAGTCCTTCTCAGGTAGTGAGCTTTGAAGGTGGAGGCTACGCCTGGACCCATGGGCTGGATGGAGTCAGCTGTACTGTCATGAAGATATTCCACTTACAGTATCAGACAGGTCACTCAAACTGACCGGGTGGCATGGTGCACTGTCCAGGATGAGCAATGCTTTGTTGCTTAGGTTATTTTTGGCACAGTATTTTCCAACAGCAGGACAAAAAAAGTGCCTGAACCATTCAAGAAAAATGCTCCTGGTTGCCCAGGCCTTTCTGTTTGAGCGCCAAATCACAGGCAACTTGGGCTTGGAGTACCCCTTCAGAGCCCGGGGGTTTTCTGAGTGGTACACCAGTAAGGGCTTCAACTTCAAGTCCCCAGTTGCCACCAGCAGCAGCATCAAACGGTCTTTGGACGATTGAAACCCGGCTGAGCTTTTTCCTCCACAGAAATAAACGTTCCTTCAGGCATTCTCTTCCAATAAAGCCCTATCTCATCGACATTAAAAACTTGCTGGGGGGTGTACTCACCGTCTTCGATGATGCTCTTCAGCGCTTCCCGGTATGTGTCCCGGTTGCTAGCAGCTGTGCCGTTCATCTGGAAGTGGGGCAAACGACGGCGCTCCTTGAACCTCACAAACCACCCTTTACTGGCACTAAAGGTTTCTTTTGAGAGCTTTCCCCCAGGTCACGCTGTAACTCATCAAACAAGCTCTTAGCCTTCTCCTGGATCATGGCAACACTCCGCGGCAGGTTCCGCTGGCTCTGGTCTTCCAGCCACAGGCGCAGCCGCCGCTCCATAGCCTCCATGGCTGCACTTCGATGGTGAGTCAACCGAGCGGCCCTTGAGGGAGTAGCTACTTGGGAACTGTTATTTTTTCTTTATTATCTCGGATCGTCGCCACTGTAGAGACAGCAAGGTCCAAGGCCTTTGCGATCTGGCTGAGCTTCTCGCCCACTTCAAACCGTCGTAACACTTCTAATTTTATGTCCAGGGGAATTGCTTTCCGTTCCCTTTTGGCATTTGGGACGGCCTTTGGGGGCCTTCTCACGGGCATGATTGCCTCCAGAATGCAGGGAAACCACAGCAGTCCCCGGGGGAGAGGCCTGTGGACCCAGCTCGCTGGCAGGGCTTGCGGAAGGGAACCCGCTGGCGGAGGCGCAGGGGGGCCTCCCGGGGACGTGGGTCACCACAGGCTGCCCAGCTCGACGGCCCAGCAACAGGCTGCGCATCCTCGACGCGAAGGCGGCAGCCAGGGCTTTGGGGTCCGTCAGTGTCCAAACCCGGGACTGCACAGCTGCAGGCGCATCCAAACTGGCCGGGGTCCCCGTGTCCAGAGAACAAACAGAAAGTCGTGCCGGGGAGTCACGCTGCGCAGCACCCGCCGAGTCAGCTCCTTCGTTCTGAGGGCTCCCGGGCGCAGTCACACGTGTGCCCTGCACCCCCGCGCGCCGGTCGCAGCGGCCGACCCGGTGGGGCGGGTGGCGTTCGCTTAAGCGGCCGCGGCCCACGGAGGACCCGGAAGTGCGTGTCCTTGTCTGTGCCAGATTCAGAGTCGGTCTAAAGCACTCCTCCCGGCACCGAGTCCGCCTCGTTCGCTGGTTCCTGTGCTCCGCTGTCTGGAAGGGGAAGGCGGCGCTCACCGTCACTCCTTACAGTCAGGCGAGAAGCAGGCTCCTAAAGAGGTCCCGGCGCCGACTCCGCGGCCTCGCTGCGCATGCGCGCAGCTCCCGAGCCTGTCGGCGGCCTCTGCGACCAGTTGGCCACTGCATTGCGCATGCGCACAGCTCCCAAGCCTGTCGGCGGCCTCTGCATTGCGCGCGCGCGCCCCCCAGCGGCGTGTGGTCGCGGCTAATGGCGCAGCGGCTGGTGGCGGCCGCTCCCCGAGCTGTGGAGATGCCGCGGCGGCCCGGGACCCGGCGGAACGGCCGGGTCTGGCGTCAGAGCCTCCGAAATAGCTCCGCAGGTGAGCGGGGAGGCGCTGCCCGCCGGTTCCGGGAGGCGGGTGACGCCATCGGGGTGCGCCGGCCAGCGCGGGGGACGGGGGCGGGGGTGGATGGTGTTTGGGGGCCAGGATGAGGAGGTGAGAAACGCAGCAAGAGCAGCTTCAGCTCCGTCCCGCTGCCGCCTCGGCTGCCCCTGGTCCTAACCCGTCGCCCTCCGAGCCCCGAGGGCCCTCCACGCTTCTCAGCGGTCCCCACCGCGGGCTCCCTGGGCAACCTCAGCAGGTGCCCGCCTCCTTTTTTGGCTGCAAAGAGCCCAGGTTGAGCGTCTTGCGTTCGAGTCCCGCTCCTCCCGGCACCGCGCTCCGACGCGAGGGCGTTTCTGCCCGGGCTCCACGGATGTTCTTCGGCCTGATCCGCCTCGCAGAGTTGCTCTCCGCACCGGTGGAGATAATGGGCGCGAAAGAGTTTTGTGAATCGTTAGAGTTTCTAATTCAGCCGCCTCTCGTGGAGCCCTGGGGCCTCGGTGCTGCGCCGCACAGACTCTCGCTGAACCCACACCTGGCCTGCAGGTGGGCGCCTTGCAACCTCCTGTCCAAGAGCCGGCCAGCGGCTCCCCGCGCCTTGCAGTTCCTGTCCTGCTCCAGCTCCTCCACTTTTAACTTCTGTGTTGCACCCCTTCCCCTGGCTTAGAATCTGAAATGTTACTCCACGGTTAGGTGGTTTTTTTTTATTGATACACCCCAGAGGGCAGTAATCACATTGATTCTTTTCCCCTAATGCACCTATGTGCAGTTTCTGGGTTTTGATACAAGAAAGATACCTTGATTTCTGATTTTTTTTTTTGGGGGGGGCGGTTATGGTGGCTCTTATTGTGATTGTTTTTACTATATTGGCTTTTGACCTACTGTAGTGAAAAACCTAAATTATCTCTCGTTCTTCCCTGGCTGGGTTACTCAGTTGGGTAGAGCGTTGTCCTGATGCACCAAGGTTGCGGGTACGAACTCCAGTCAAGGCACATATAAGAAGCAGCCACTGAATGTGTAAAGAAGTGGAACAACAAATTGATGTCTCCCTCTTTCGCTCAATTAAAATTTTTTTTAATTGTATCTAGTTCTGTCTTTAACTGATGCAGGTATTAGCAGCTTATGGTAAAAACGAGTTTTCCTCTTTGAGGACTGAAGAAACGGTACACAAGAGGGTTTGCTCTCCTTGGCCTGACAAAAACACTAATCTTTGGTTGATCATATATAAATTATGTAGTATCCTTTGGTTTTTAAGTTTCACATAATTTTAGTCTTAGAATTGTGTTTGTTTTTGAGGCTGCAATAGTTTCAGTTGCCAAAAATGCCTCGGTCAAGAAACGGTGAGTTTTCTTTGACAGCTGCAGCAATAAAAGTATTTTATGTCTTCCTGCAGTAAAGTTCCTGTTGGAATAATTTTTAAAAGGGGTATTTAAGCAGACAAATAAAGGCAGCAAGCTTACCCCTCGGGCTTGATCCCTGTCCCTGCACACCTGTAAGGGCCACTGTGAGCAAATGCAGTCCAGTTCAGAAGCGAATCCTCTTTCCCACCTTCCTTTCAGTGCCTCCAAGGCAGCTGCTTTCAGCCGCTGGTTCTGCCCACATAACTGCTGTCATTTTCCCATTTTCCCAGCGGCTGTTCCAAACCACCCAGAGGTAACTACCTATTATTGGCAGCGCAAGTTTCCCAGGAACCCAGTGCGGCTTCCCCAGTGTCTTCCCCACAGTGTGTGTGTGGGAGGGGGGGGGCGGGGGGTGAACCAGGGAACAGGTGTGTGATGACTCTGATGCCCATGCCTCCCCCCTTGTGCAGCTTCCATATTGAGCCACACTAAGCTCTTACCATTCTGGCTCACACAGCCCCTCCACATCTTCACAGATTCCATACTCAGTAAAGACGGTGAAAGGAAACTCTTTCAGAAGGAAGCTGCCTCTGTTGGGAGGCGTGGGAACAAACCTCTTTTTCTGCACATCCGAGGACCCACCAGGCTGAGCCTCGTATTTGGAAAGCAGAACTGAGACAGTGTAGAAACCGCAGTTAGCTTGGCGCACACCTGCCCTTCACATAGGCAGCCCTGTGCTCAGTCCTGCAGTGCTTGGTGGGGCAGCCTCTTGCTCAGTGAGACTAAGTACCTGGTCTTGCTCACTTAGAGGGTCTGTGAGCTGGAAATGCTTAGCATGTGAATGAGGGCTGAGTCCTCTCCCCGCCCCCCCCGAATGGTTCCGAGGAGGTCACCTGATGCTGCCTAGGGTATCCCAGAAAGAAGTAGACTTGTGCATAGACACCCTTGAGCTCCAAATGCATTTCCAGGTCTTGGCCTGGAACAGCCATTCTTTAGTGGAGAGCCTATTTGGGAATAAAAGGCTGGAGCATCCCAAAACCTCAGTAGTGATCGTTCAGACACCTCGTTGTTTCCTGTGAGTGTAAACATGAGACCTGCTTCCTGCAGAGAAGTCAGTGGGAAGTCACGGTCTCCAGAAGGCGATCCCCATCTCGTGCTGACCACGGCTGGCCTGTTACGGGGCCTCCTGGCCTGTGTTGGTGCATGAGCTCACTGTCTCAGTTTGCATCCCTTCGCTGTGTCCTTGGGTTGCTTTCCAGAGGGCTTTTCTCCCCGATGGCTGGGTACAGAGGCACAGCAGCCTGTGGGCCACTGGGGCTGCGTCTTTATTCTCATCGGCATCTTTCTCCTGTGGTCTCTGCAGCCACGTCGCTGGGTGGTAAGAGTGTTACTGAATGGGCTCTGGATATAAGGCTTCCCTGTGTCGTCAGTAGAAGACTTTCGCTCCTGGTCCTTTTGTGTTTTAGAGCCAGGGTGGGATGTTAGTGCTCTGATGTCTCAAATTCTAATTCCTCTTCTTGAATTAGATCCTGTTTATTAAAATGGAAATAGGTACATACATACCCCAGGTTAAAACTGTCCACGTCAGTAGGAAAACAACCCTTAGATGTATTTGGAGAGTGTTAGCTGTCTCGGGTACAGTTCCGTCTGTGTGGGGAGAACATGTCCGAGGCCCTTGGTAGCTGCTGAGCATCCTGTCAGCACCTCAGCTCTTCTGACTGGGTTTCTCTTCTCTGCTAGGTGGACTGGCTGGGAGTCGTGAACAGTTTATGCGTCTTATTCTTGCCCCTGGTACATCACCCGAGGTGAGGGCTGGGTTCAAGACTGATTCCAGTTGTTTTCATGTAAAGCGTAGCTTTGTATTTTTCAGAGAAATGCCTTTTTTGATTTACCCCCCACAGTAACCCCTGTTCATGTGACATGCATCACTAGCAGCCTTCCAAGCAGACAGGATTGAGTTTGCCAAGTCATATGTGAGGACCACCAAGCGAGGTTTGTGAGGAGAGAAGAATAAAAAGGCAAAAACAAGGGACAAGGACAGAATGTTCTATTTCCGTCTAAAACCTAAGACCCGTGGTTATTGGTCAGGACAGGGGACCCTCCTGTCGTGAGCAGACTCACCTGCAGAACTAGGCTCTGCTTTGCAGGAAGTGGAGTTGGCGAGTGAGGCGGTGGCTGTGGGGAGGGCACCTCACACTGCTCGCACCTCGATTCCACAGAGGTTTGTGTGGTTTAACATCCGCAGCGTTGACACCTTTGAGCGGAACCTGGAGACTGCTCATGTGGATTTGGCATCAAGCCTCCCAACCAGGCGGCAATGGTCTACACCCGTGAGAGTGACGGGAGAGTGACAGGGCTCCAGCACGGGCGCCTGGTTCCGGGCAGAGCGGTGTGGACTGTGCTTTCTTCAAGCGCGTCTGGCGTCTGCTAATAATTTTTTAAAAATATGTTTTATTGATTTTTTACGGGATGGAGAGCTAGAAGCATCGATGAGAGAGAAACATGGATCAGCCGCCTCCTGCACGCTCCCCACTGGGGATGTGCCCGCAACCAAGGTACATGCCCTTGACCGGAATCGAACCTGGGACCCTTCAGTCTGCAGGCCGACGCTCTATCCACTGAGCCACACCGGCTCGGGCGTCTGCTAATAATTTTAATGTCTGTAGTAGGAAAATAGTTCGTTAGCTCTGTTTTCATTGAGGAAAGAAGTGATCCGGTAGGTTAAAAAAGTGGAACACGAGGCTGGGCAGGACGCGCCTGTGAGGAAGCCGTTCTGGGTCTGCTGGGCGTGCTCCCCGCCCCGCCACACGGCCAACCGTAGGCGAAGCCCAGCAGGCCCACGTGGGTGGGATGAAAAGCCTTCAGAATTGGGGGAAGGTTTGGTGCCACGGACAGACTTTGACACTTTTTTGTTGTTGTTAATCTTCACCCAGGGACATTTTCTTCATTGATTTTTAGAACGAGTGTAAAAGAGGGAGGGAAGAAGAGAAGAGATAGAAACATTGATGTGAGAGAGAAACATCCATCAGCTGCCCCTCGCACGTGCCCCTACCAGGATCCAGAGATCAAACCTGCAACCGAGGTACCTGCCCTTGGCCGGGAATTGAACCCGAGATTCTTGGTCTGCTGAGTGACGCTCTAACCACTGAGTAAACCCGGCCAGGGCTATCCCCATTTTTAAAGAAACCCCTCCCTTTTGTGTATCAGAACAGTTCCAGCCGCTCAGTGGTTGAGTGTGGGCCTATGGAGGTCACGGTTCGATTCCCAGTCAGGGCACATACCTGGATTGTGGGCTTGATCCCCGGTGAGGGGCATGTCGGAGGCAGCCGATCAGTGATTCTCTCTCATCATGGATATTTCTATCTCTCCCTCTCCCTTCCGCTCTGAAATCAATAAAAATAAATTATATAAAAAAAGCAGTCCCAGAACTGTTGACTCTCCGTGGCCTGAGGTAGTATTTATGGCCTTTCTTCTGACGAGTGGTTTTCTTGGGTTTTCTAGCTCTTTCTTGCAAAGCCTGGTGCCCACCCTTCTCCTGGTTGGCATCCTCTATGCTGCGAGTAGGGGCGCAATGGGGACTGGGCGTGGCTGATGAGGAAGGGACCTCTTCAGTGCTGGTGAGACCCCGGCCAAGATCCTAAAGAACAGCATCGACATGCGGTTTGCAGATGGAGCTGGTTGCGAAGAATCCAAGGTGGAGATTATGGAGTTTGTGAATTTTCTCAAGAATCCTAAACAGTACCAGGACTTAGGAGCCAAAATTCCAAAGGTATCGATTTCAGAAAATGCAGTACTGCTCCAGCATCACAGAGGTCCCTGTGGTCCAGGGTTGACAGGTAGTTGACAACAGCTTTCTGTGATGCTGATGTATTTTACTAATCACATTAGAGAGTGTAGATAGCATTTGCAGAGTTGAGCAGTGACAGTCTTCTCACCTGATCGACCTGAGAGCACAGTGAGTTATTTTTCCCTGTGAGGCAGTGGAACATACCCCTGTGTGGTGTGTTTATTTTTAACTTAATTGCATGTCTGTGTTGTCTCTCTTCCTGTGAGTTTGGTCCCAGTAGCCGTGATCCTCTGCTGAATGTCCTGCATGAACCATGTGTTGGTGACAGTTTTGTTTCTCTGAATTGAAGTGAGGACTTTGAAGCCATCTGAGTGCAGAATCTATGTTTTCATGAATTTTTCTTACCCATTTATAGTTTTCTCACCTGCCCAATTTTTAAAAATTATTTTTATTGATTTCAGAGAGAAAGGGAGAGAGCTACATAGGTAGAAACATCAATGATGAGAGAGAATCACTGATTGACTGCCTCCTGCATGTCCCCTACTAGGGGGGATCGAGCCTGCAACCCGGGCATGTGCCCTTGGCCGGAATCGAACCTGGGACCTTTTAGTCCACAGGCCAACGCTCTATCCACTGAGCCAAACCGGCTAGGGCTCACCTACCCAATTTGACACATTTCTTTTTTCAGCAATAAGCCTTCAAATTAGGTTTTGAAGAAACAACTTTCTTTACTCCTCTTTTATTAGTTTACATAACATCAACTTAAATAATTAAAACAAGTGCAACTCAAACAGGTTTGGGGTCAGATGCAGCTGCCTCTTTGAAGCCCAGGGCCAGCAGGGGGAACAGGCATGGTGTGGGCTTGGGTGTGGCTCAGGGTGTCCTTTTGAGGAAACTGAGCCTTGGCCATTCGGGCTGTGGGGTCTGTCTGCTGGTGCCTTTTGTGTCATGGACCCTTTGAGGACCGGACAGAAGCTATGAGTCCTTTTTCCAGAAAGAGTTGCATCTCATAAGAAATTGACTCACAGACCTTCAGGTCTTGGGCTCTGGACCAGGCTTCGAGCTCTACTGTGGGCAGTGCCCACCAGAGACCTCTGAGTAGCCCAGCTTCACCCACTTGGGCACCACTGCCAGCCTGAGGGTTAGAGGGCAGGAGGTGACATTTCTCTTTGACAGTTTGGTGAGTGTGAGCTGAAAAGTACGTGGTGTGACAGGCGCACAGGCTGATCAGCAGAGAGAAGCCTACAGCTCGCTGGTCAGTGAGTTTGTCCAGCATGTGAAGACCATTCAGTGGGGAAAGAACAGGCTCTTCAACAAATGGGGCTGGGACAGTCAGATGTTCACACACCAGGAATGAAATTGGACCCTACCACCTTCTATATGTTAACTCACTATGAAGCCTTAGAAGGAAACAAGGGGGGGAAGCTTTATGACCTCTTTTGGTAATGGTTTCCTAGTTAGTATGATGCTGAAAGTATAAGCAAGGAATGAAAAAATAAATTAGACTCCTTCAAAATTAAAATTTTGTGTATCGGCCTAGCCGGTTTGGCTGAGTGGATAGAACGTTGGCCTGCGGACTGAAGGGTCCCGGGTTTGATTCTGGTCAAGGGCATGTACCTTGGTCGCGGGCACATCCCCAGTGGGGAGCATGCAGGAGGCAGCTGATCGATGTTTCTAACTCTCTATCCCTCTCTCTTCCTCTCTGTAAAAAATCAATAAAATACATTAAAAAAAATTTTGTGAATCAGCGGACATTGTCTAGTGAGTGAAAGGCCAGCCGACAGACTGGAAGAAAACGCTCGGAAATCCTGCCTCTGATAAAGGTATGAGATCCAGAATCTGTAAAGAACTGTCACAAGTCAGCACAGTGAAGAGCTCAGTCTGAAATGGGCAGAGGATCGGAGCAGACACTTTTTCACAGATACACAAATGGCCAGAAAGCACGTGGGAAGGCGCTGAGTGCTGTTCGTCACTAGGAAAGTGCAACTCGAGAGCACGGGGAGGTAGCACCTCACACCCACCCGCTGGCTGTAAAGGATGGACAAAAGGGGGAGCTGGCAAGGGTTGGAGACACGCTGTGGGATGTGCAGTAGTGCAGGTGAGGGAAGCAGTGTGGTGGTTCTCCAAAGAGTAGACTAGTCACCATATGACCCAGCAGTTCCTCGGTATCCATACAGATGTTCATGGCAGCATTCGTCAGAACCGCCCACGTGTCCATCAGCGCGTGATGGATGAACCAGATGTATTATACGTGTAATGGGATGTGGATTTTATGTTAAGTAACTCGCACCTTAATAAGATGTTTAACCAGAAAGCTAGTTAAAAACAGTGGTCATGACAAGGTAGTTCCTGTGTCCTTCAGGTGCTCACCTGCTTTCCCTCTGGTCTCTCGGCTGGAGGCTTTCCTGGGATGAAGCCCGCTGGGCACCAGTGGCAGCCGTCTCTCCTTTCCCGGGTCAGGTGCTGATATTCCAATGTTTGCAGTGAAGCAGCCCTGATCGCCGCTCACCACCTGAGTCCTTTTGTGCAACAGAAGCACTTTGAGCAGGCCATTGAGAGGGTCATCGGAGGTGAGCAGATGTCCCTTGGGGGGCCCCCACCCTGGGACGCAGTTCACTTCAGCACACAGAAGCCATGGACTGTTTTCCAAACCAAAATTTGGGACTTTGGGTCCGCCAACAACCTCCATGTTTTTTCTAGAGCTACGTTTAGAATCTCAAAGAGATGGGACCCTCGGGGCACTGGCGTAGAGGCAGATGTGGGTGCTCCGTGTGGTTGAGAGGAACAGGGTTTTCTGGACGCGTCCTGCTGGGACATGCTCTGTGAGCAGCTGTGCTGTGTGCTGCATGTGCGAGTGTGTACGTGTGCGTGCAGGGTCACCGCCTGGCTTTCCATCCTCAGCTCAGCTGCTTGGGAAACTAGTCAGTTGGTTGAAGGTGTCCAGAGTGCCTTCCCAAGGATGGACATCAGGTGTCCACATGGCGAGCAGCTGTCCATGGTCAGGTCAGCAGGCTGGTGTCGCTGATCTGTCCTTGTTGAACTTTTTACTAACGTGTGACATGTTTAGAGAAGCACGTAGAGAAATTCATGCAAGAGTAGGCCTTCCTTCCCCCAGATGCTGGCACCTGGGCTTCCCTCCCGGCCCCGGCTTTGTCTGGAAGGAAGTCTGGTCTAATTAGCATATTACGCGTTTATTATTATAGATTGGCAGTTGAGGTGTTCAGAGCCTGGAGCGTAGCGCCTCTTCCCGGGGTTGCGGGCCCAGCGCCTGGTACCCCTACTGCTGCACCCTCCCTCTCCTCTCTGGGCCATCGCGCCCGCCCCCTCCCCATGAGCTCTGTTGTCAGCTCCTGGGCCTGTGCACAGGACACCTGGCCAGGAACCTTCCAGTGGCTCAGGGTTTGAGGAACCACCTGCCATGCACTTGGTGCCTGTTCTCTGGGCCCTTGATTCACAGGTGAATAAAATGGCTGGGGTTTCAGCCTCATGGTGGCCTCTGCTCACAAGTGGGGCCATCCCTGCTGGCTGGCTCCCTGTGAAGACCTGCTGCTCTGGGCCTAGAGCTCCTGGAAACCTGCTCTTGGCTGGGGGAGGCTCACACAGGAGGGCCAGGCCTCTGTGGGGGCAGGATCTTCACTGTAATGACTAAAGGTCCAGGGCACTTGTCACTGACGGGTGATCCAAATAAGCCACCCTGAGTGCAGCACAGCAGGCCCCAGGGGCTTAGGCTGGAGAAAACGGAGCCCCCTGGCTCGCACCCTCCCCGCACTGCACTGTGGGACGGCTACAAAGGAAGAGACGGTGGTTGGGCCTTAGGGCTTAGGACGGGTGATGTTTTAATGCCACTACTGTAATTAGCTCCGCAGCAGCAGGAAGGATGGATGTGTGTGGGGGGAGACCCGGGGTGGTGGTGCAGGCAGGCCACCCTTACAGGATTGGGTTTTAAGGGGCATTCTTGACTGTGCCTGGTCAGTCAATGTCCCCGTGCTGTTGTTGATCACGTGGCAGGAGAGGGAGTCTCCTGCCCCTACGTGGAAGGCAACCACCTGCATTTCTCAGGCCAATTTGCCTGGGGGACCTTCCTCCAGCCAAGCACAGTGGGCCCATTGCCCAGGGCTCCTATGGAGGAGCACATTTCAGTGGGGTGTCAGTGGGGAACAGATCAGGGCAGGTTTCCGTGGGAACAAAAAGCAAGCTCACACATTTATTTTCAAACCAATCTTGGACTTGCAATCAGACCGGAAGCCTGTCCTGTCCTTTAGCACATAAAAAGCAGTGTTGGGAGCAGCTGAGCCTGGTGGCCTGATTTGGGGGCCAGGGGCTGTGCCCACGTTCTCCCACACCTCCAACCCCTTGGGCCAGGATGTGCATCGACAGGGTATGGGGCCGCATGGGCAAGGGACTGGAAGAATGTGGCCCACCCCCAAGCAGTCTGAGGCATCGTGCCGTATTTGGTGTGCTGAGCTAAGGAGGGTGGGCCCGCTGTCTTGCAGGGACCAGGACGAGCAGGGTCTTAGGGCCTGGGAGGAACCCCATTGCTGGCATTGCTCCCTGGGTGGCTGGAAGGGGACAGGATTGAAATAAAGGTGGAAATGTTCAGGATTGACTCTTCCACCCACGTATTTGGCTAGACCCCAGGGCCTTTGCAGAGCGGCAGTCATCTGCTCAGATGCCCCCGTCACCCAGCATCCACTCGGGAACCTTGTGACAGATGAGAGCACCAGTCCTGTGGACAGAAGGTTCCAGAAGGCCCAGTCCACTCCTGTCTCATCCCCGGGCATTGTCAGCCCTGATCCAGGGACCAGGAAGGAATTGGACATCAGGCCACTGGGCTGTGCTTGTGCTGGGTGCCTTGAGACCCTGACCTGGAGCCATGTGGGGTGGGCAGAGTGTCCACGGAGCCGCAACATCACATTTCCTCTGCCTGGGTCCCGGGGCTGCCTGGCCTAGTTCTCCTTGGGCCTCTCCACAGTGAGAAACGTGTCCACAATCGCTGGCTGCCGCTCAGGGTCGCCGAGGTGCTGCTTCTCGCGGTTCTGCTCTGCCCTGGCCCGAGTCCAGGATGGGGACCGCAGACAGCCGGCCCGGGGCAGTGGGTGCAGGCCTGGTGGGAACACGGGTAGGGTCAGCATGGCCTGGGGTCCTGCGTCTCTCCTGAAGATACCGGGCTGGGCCCTGTGTGCTTCCCAACACAGTGTCGGCCACACATTGGGATCCCCTGGGCACTTAGAAAATGTGAGTGCCAGCAACGAGGACGTGTGGGCCTGAACCCCCGACCCCGGGCCCCGCCTGCATGTGGTTTGAGCAGGGAGAGAGGAATGTCCCTGGTCCCACTCACCCCACTGGCTGCCTTGCCGTTTCTGAGGCTTTTGGGGTCTTGGGCCCAGGACAACGCTTCCTTGGGAACCAAAGTGGACACCACGTCAGGCTGCGCTGAGGTGGGGCCAGGTTGGGTGAATGGCACCTCCTCTGTGTTCAGCTTAACTTGTGACTTTTTTAGATTGTTTTTTTTTTTAATCCTTACCTGAGGACATTCTCATTCATTTTAGAGGGGAAGGGAGAGAGAGAAACATTGATCAGCTGTCTCTCCCACCCGCCCCAACCAGGCTGGGGATCGAACTCGCAACCTAGGTATGTACCCTGATCAGGAAGCAAACGGTGACCCTTTGGTGTGCTGGACGGTGCTCCAGGCAACTGAGCTCCAACCAACAGGGCTTAACTAGTGAGCCATTTAGTAAATGCTTCCTTCAGTGGGTCTGTGCCTTTGGCCTTTGGTTGTGTTTGAAAAGCAGAACTGAGGAGGGGTAGCAGGAACAGGAGGCACATGGATATGTAGAAGGCAGAAATGTTGAATAAAATGGTGCTGTGGTGGCAAATACGTAAACGCAATTGAGATAAGCTTATTTTTAAAAACGGATTTCGGGAAGCAGTGTTTAGTGGTCTCGGGCCCCAGGACCTCCCCCAATGCCCATCGTGTGCCAGTGCCAGCCTCACCTGCTGGTGATTCACCCGTCAGGTTCTCATCATCGGAGTCAGCAAAGACCTCGGCCAGTTCCTGGTCGGACATGTCGGTCAGCTCGGTGAGGTCCAGGAGGTCAAAGTGCACCTCGAGGGAGGACACACTGCTGAGTGGCTCTGGGAGCAGGGGGCGTGTCACTGGCGCAGTCGTCCGTGGGGCCCCCTGCCCCCACGAGGCCCAGGGGAGACCCAGAGCTCTGGGTAAAGCCCAGCACGGCCCCCAACTCTGCTCCCCACACTCAGGACCAAACGCCTTCTGGGGAGCCCTACTTATAGATGCTACAGCTGAGGCCCAGCGAGCCAAAAGTTTGAAAAGCTCAGTGCTCGCCACACTGGGGGAGTGTTTGGACAGGATGTGGCCCCTGGTCCCCACTCCCCATAGGTCACAGGTCCCCATGGAACATGCCAGGCAGCTCCCCTGTACTTACGCCTCCGTTCTGTGACCTGCAGGAGCCCTGGTGCTGGTATTGGGACTCCCACCTCCTCCTGCTCAGCCACAGGCAAGTGGCCGCTGTCCCCTGTCCCAAGGGCCGGGGCATCCAGGGCAGCCAGAGGCACCTCAATCTCCTTAACTATTTCTGCAAAAGACAGAATGCTTTACCCGCAGGACACAGGCAGGAGGACTTGCGAAGTTGCCTGATGGGTGCTGGGCAGTGAGCAGGGTGCTCAGGGTTGCCTCGGGCCAGGACCCCAGACGAGGTGGGGGCTTCTCTGAGGAGGCTCCTCGTTTTCCATATTTAAGTTTGTTGTGAGGTGAGGGCAGGAGGCCCCTTGAGAGCGGTGCTTGGTGGAGGTGGGACCGCAGGAACACAGGCTCCCACACGTTCCCCTGGGACCCCACAGCCGAGCAGGTAGACTCCAGGGCCGACCCGGGGGCCCCCAGCAGGGCTCTGCGATGCCTCGGGTGGATGCCAGAGTCAGAGTGGATGAAGCCCCAGGAGCAGCTGCGGCCGTCGCGACGAGGGGCCCCACTGGGGCTCTCGGTGCCAACAGCTGCTTGTGAGGGTGGGCCTGTCCTCCCCACTGTGGTCAGCAGCCTGGACGCCACCATGTGGGACATGTGGGTCTGGAGGGTCCCGGCTTACAGCTGCAGAGCTGGGCGGTGCGCCTGACCTCGGGACGGGTACCACCTGTCCTGGATGGGGCTGAGGGAAGGCGTACCTGCTGCCCGCGGGCGGCCTGTCCAGCTTTGCACCCTGCTGCCCTCACGTGGGCAGGCCAGGCTGGACAGGCTCGAGATTCGGTTTCTACCTCTGGTGCCTCAGGAGTGTGGCTTCTGAGCATCCTTAGAGGGTAGAGTTACACCCACCCCTGTCCTGGCCCCCACAGCCTGGCAAGGACACCTTCCCGCCCAGAGGGCACGAGAGATGAGATTCGGATCCTGCTCTGTGCTGGGGGTGTTGGGCCAAGGGAGCCCTTGGGGGCCTTGGTCTGCAGGACACTTTGCTTTGTGTCCTCAAGGGGAGGGTGGCACCGGGTGTAAGTGTCCTGGGCCTGTCACACTGAGACACTTCCACACCTGGCCTGTGGGGGGTGACTGGGCTGGAGCCTCTGGCATGATAACTAGTGACAATGCCTCTTGGTTTTCAGACTTGCTCTGTGCCAGGCACTGCCCAGTGCTCTGCTCTCTAACTGGATGTCACAACCAGCCATGAGGGCGGAGCGCTGAGCGCTGTGCTTTAGAGAGTGGCTCAGCTCCCTGCAGGCACCACACGGGGGACCATGGAGTCTGAGCTCTCAGCCTCCATTCCCAGGTCATGGTGCAGGGCTGGGAGCAGGGGCGGAGGAGGGAGGAGACTCCTGCCTGTGCCCGCAGGGAAGCTGGAATATGTTTCCTGGGCCCGCCCCAGGCGGAAGTGGACTTCTGAACGATGGAAGGATAGAGGCAGGGGTCTGCTCACAGCTGCCCTGTCCCTCAGTTGCTGGGTGGGGCCCTCTTCTAGCAAGAAAGCATCCATTCATTCATTCTTCAACCCAACAAAGGTTTCCTGAGTGCACACTCTGTGCCGGGGCCATAGCATGAACCAAGTGGATGATCCCACCCTCGAGGACAGGCAGTTCTGTTGGGGGCAGGGGTCTGAAGGTGGGCCGGAGCTGCGTCACATCTGAGGGACAGGGCAAGGCCCAGGGGACAGGGGTGGGGTACATCCCGTAGATGCTGACTGCTACTCTGAGGGAGCGAGCTGTGCAGTGCTGGAGGGTCTGCGCTGAGAGGGGCACCCGCTAGTTGCACCTTTAAGGGACGCAGTCCAGGTGGGAAGGATGAAGACGACAGGGGCTAAGATGGGGGCTGGGGGGACCCAGCAGGACCTCAACCAAAGAGCACACTCCTGGCCCATCTAGCAGGGAAGGGGGGACTGGGAGCACCCACGTGCCTCTTTACAGAGAGAGGGAGGCAGGAGCTCGGACAGCCCCTGGGACAGACTCCACAAGCACCGTGGCCTGCGGCACTGACTGTAAGGAGCACATTTTACAAAATTCCAACATCCCAGAAACAGCAAAGTGTCTGTGTGCTGTGGAGTCAATGGCATATAGTGTGTGTCTGGTCTTTTGAGTCATTTTCATCGCCTTTTGGCAGTGCTTGGTCTCTGTAAATCCTGGTGCCCTAATCTGTCTCAAAGCTGTGGGGAAGAAGATGTAGCTTCTGCCATCGAGGACACTGGTCCTGGGCTAGAAGAATGTGAGGGAAAGGGAGGTGAAGAGTCGATGTGCCACTGCAGATGCCAGGGACAGAGCAGCTCAGGAAGGTCAGGCTTGATCTTGTCAGGTAAAGCATGTGGCCATGATGCAAGACAGTCCAGCTGTTAAGTGCGGAGTCACCGCACAGTCCAGCCATTCCACTCTGACGCTCAAACCCGAGAGAACCAAAGCACATGTGCACACAAACACTACGCAAATGTTCACAGCAGCACTGAGCGTCACAAAAGGCAAAAGTGAAAGCAAACCCAGATGTCCATCAGTGGATGACGGATACACAGAATGGGGTCCATCCATCACTGGATACTACTCAGCCACAGAAAGGAACGGCGCTCTGACACCGGCTATAACGTGGATGAACCTTGAAGACATGGTGAGTGCAAGAAGCCAGACACAAAAAGGCCACATATTATGGCACCATTTATGCAGATGTCCGGAGCAGGCAAATCCATAGAGTAGAAAAGTAAATCAGAGAAGACAGAGTAGATTGGTGGGTGGGGTGTGTGTGGAATGTGGAGTAACTGCTGGTGTGTACAGGGTTTCTTTCCCGAAAAGCTAAAAGTAGATGTTGGTGATGGTTGTACAACTTTGTGAATACAGATGCTCCCTAACTTATGATGGGGTTATACCCTGATAAACTTGTCGTAAGTTGAAAATATTTTAAGTGTCCCTAGCCAGTGTGGCTCATTGGGTAGACATCAGCCTGTGGACTGAAGGGTCCTGGGTTTGATTCTGGTCAGGGGCATGTACCTCAGTTGCAGGCTCCTGGCCCTGGTCGGGGGCATGTGGGAGGCAACCAATTGATGTGTCTCTCTCACATGGGTGATTCCTACCTTCCACTCTCTCTAAAAATCAATGGAAAAAATATCCTCGGGTGAGGATTGAAAAAGAAAAGAAAGTATTGTAATTAAAAAATGCATGTAAGACTCCTAATGTACTGAGCATCGTAGCTTAGTCCAGACACCTCAAATGTGCTCAGAAGACCATGTACATTAGCCGACAGCTGCCCAGCACCACAAGAGACAGTAGCGTATCGCTACTCTGGAAAAGACCAAAACTGAACATTCAAAGTTACAGTTTCCACTGGATGCTTATCACTGATTGCCATCGTAAAGTAAAAAAATCATTAAGTTGAACCATCTTAAGTTCAACTTAAGTACTAACAATACTAAATTGGAAACTGTAAAAGGCTGAATTTTAGGACATGTGACTTATATCTCAATTTTTGAAATCGTCAATGGAAACAAAGGTGATTTTTGGCTGGCATTAAAGAGCAAAGCCAGGATGACTTAGGACATGAACCATATGCTGTACACCTACTTACTGTGTGCCAGGCATCTGGCTCAGAGGCTGGTCTGGGTGTGAGCTCCAGGATCTGGGCTTGCCCTAGTGCACGGTAGGTGCACCATAAATGTTTGTGGAATGACTGAGCCCAAAAACCCGTATATATATATATATGTGTCTAAGCGACCATTACGACCAGTTGACTGAATGACTAGTCAACCAGTTGCTATGACACGCACTGACCACCAGGGGGCAGATGCTCAATGCAGGAGCTGCCCCCTGGTGGTCAGGGCCCTCCCACAGCCATCCTCCTGCAGCTGGCCCACCTCCCGTGGTCTCTCCCCCCAGGACTGGACGAGATGGCCCCGATCGCCGGCCAGGCTGAGACCCCATCTGTGCACGAATCCATGCACCGGGCCTCTAGTAGTTAATAAGAGGCTCTCTGATCGATCAGTCTGATCTCTGGAGGACAAAGGGACACATGTCCCACAGGTCAGACCCACTGCTCTTCCTGGGGCACAGCAGAGCAGGGAGCGCCCTGGCAGGCGTGGGCAGGGTGGTTGCCAGCTTGATGGAGCCACAAGCGGGGGTCATGCAAGCCAGGGCTGAGGCCAGCAGATGTTTCTGATGCCCAGGACAAACCCTGTGGGGAGACTGAAGTTGGGGTGCCACAGTCTGCCCCCTCCCCCAGGCCTGATTGCTAATGTGAGTAGAGTAGATAGGGTTACCTTGTGCTATGCCGCTGACCTATTTTCCAGCACAACTGTGCTGAGAACGGCCCAAATTTCAAGTGCCCTTCTGTGTGTCCAGGGCCTTGCACCAGCATCAACGAGGAGGCCCTCTGTGCGCACCCACGAGCAAACGCAGTAATGAAATGATTAAAAGAATGTCATAAAGAAGGCTGCAGCGAGGGAGAGATGTCACAGAAGTGGGGCACCGGCACCCTATTTCCCCAGCCCTGGTCCCTAGACTCAGTGCCCCTCCTCCTCACCCCGTCCAGGCTCAGCCTCTCTCTTTCCCTGTGGGTGGGGTAGTTTTCCAGAGTCGACAGTTGAGGTCCTTCAGGAAGTACACTACCCACCACAGCCCCTAATCTTTTCAACTCTGATCTGCACTCTTGGATGATTCAGATATTAATTCATTTAAGTCCAAGATGAGATGAGTGATGCTCTATAAACACCTTATCTTTTCGAGATAATTGCAGAGACAGTTGTGGGTGAAATACTGTGTCTGGATTTGCTACCAATGACTGCTGAAGGGAGGGGCTTGGTGGGGTCTGGGTGAGCAGCAGGAGGTGGCAGTCAGGGCTTTCCCACAGTTTTCTCTCCTTTTGTGTGTGCTCTACACTCTCCAAAGTAAAGTTTACAGAAGTTAGTGAACTGAGAGGATGACAGTCACAGCACCCACATGTGACCTACCTGGTGAGACCCCACGGAGTGGACACACCAGCCGCGTGCAGCCAGCCCAGCCCCCCCCCCCGCCCCCCCCCCCCCCCCCGCACAGAACAGGCCCTGTAAACACGTCTGTGCACCGATGACTTAATCTTGGGCTTCCAGTAGCTGAGACTCCAAGACTGAAGGGTGGCCAGGCTCCTCTGCCCCCGCCCCGAAGGCCCGGAGGCTCTGCCCTCACCTCGCAGCCCTTGCTCTCAAGCTGCCCCTGGGAAGTGTGTATGTGTGTGTGTGTGTGGGGGGGGGCTGTCAGTTGTGAGAAAAGGCTGGATCCCTCCCAGAAGTGACAAAACAAAGGACCCGGCACCGCGAGCCCCTGGTGTGCGGTGCTTGCAGGGAGGGTAACGGGCCAGGCCACCCTCTGGCATGGACCTGCCCAACAAGGGCTGCAGACGAGCACGGACCCACGGCTCCGGGACACTTCCGGGCCAGCAGTTTGGTTCCAGGGGAGGCCGCTTGCGCCGCGGGGGACCCCCAGCGGATCCCTGTGTGGTCAGGGAGGGGCTCCTGGAATGGGACCTCCAGGGAACAAATGCACCCCGGCCTGGTCAGGCGGTCTGGAGCTCTGCGTTTGCATCCTGGCTCCCAGGCGGATGAACGGCACCCACAAATCCTTTCTGAACGGGCTTGGGAGGGGGTTCCCCAGTTTTTCTCTCATTCCGTCAGGACAGCGGACCGGCTGGAGGAGGGTCCCTCCGTCCACACCTGCCCGCCCAGACGCGTGGTCCCTGGGGCTCGCACAGGCCCCACCCCCCCACCCCCCGCAGGCAGCACCCCTCCCAGACCCCCTCTGGGCCCAGGGGCTGCAGGGTCCCCGCTGCGCCCCGGCAGCCGCTGCTGGAGCGAACAAAGCAGACACTGCCGAGGCGCTGCGCCCCCCGGGACCCCAAACTCCGGCCGGCGCGCCCCACCCCCTGACTCCCGGACCCACGGCTCGGCTGGGAGGGGTTGGGGGAAACTCTGGTCCCCCACCCAGAAGCAGGCAGGCGCGGCTGCCCGAGCGCCAAGGACCGGGGGACAGGACGGGTCTGGGGGCCCTGCCGATCGCGGAGGAGCCCCATCCCGGGCGGCCGGACCCGGCGCGGCTAGAGGTCTTCGCGGCCCGGCTGCTGCGTCCCCGGGACAAGGGGTGCGGCTGCTGCGGGGAAGCGCGGCTTGGGGTCCTGGGGCTGGGGCCGCACTCACCTCCCGGGCGGGCGCCCTCCAGAGGCTCCATGCAGCCGCGGCCTCACGGACCAGGCGGCCCTGCAGCGGCGGCGGCGGCGACTCGGCCCGGCTCCCGGCTCCCGGCGCAGCGCATCGGGCAGCAGCCGGGGGGCCGCTGCGGCGGGGAGGAGCCCGCGGGGCGGGGCACGCAGCTGCTCCGGGGCCCCTGCCACCCCATCCTCCCTCAGCCCCGCGCACAGGTGCGGCCCCGCCCGGCCCGCGCGCGCCCCCTGTCGGACCCGGGCCCGCGGACCCTCCCGCACCTGACCGCGCCCTCCCAGCCCCGCGCGCACACTCGTCCCGCAGCTGCGCTGAATTCCGTTCATTGCTCACCCCCAGATATTTATGGGGCGCCAGCTACGACCCCGCGCTTCGCGCAAGGAGAGGCAGACGTGGGGCCGACACCCTAGGACTGTGGATGTGGTCCCTGTTATAAAGAATCCCGGGGTGGGGGGAGGGGGGCGATGCTGGAGGGGTCGTGGGTGGGGGATGGGAGATAAGGAGGCGTTGGCCTCCGGGGGGCGGGGGGGGGGCGGGGGTGCTCCCGGGGATGGAGGCAGGCCGGCTCGCTGAAAGCAGAGATTGGTTAGCTCAAGTCCCACCTCCAAACGCAGACTGCGGCGCTGGGACCTCACACAAGCCCTTGGGGCACAGCCTCTCATTAACTCTCCCAGTGACCTAAGAACACAGTACCCTCGCTTTTCAGGGGAAAAAACTCAGTGGAGAGGGTAAGTAACCTGACAAGACTGCAAAGCCAGGGGCCTGAATCCAAGCCCAAGGTCTGCACTTTTACAAAAACAAACCAAACCAAAGAAAAGCTTCGGGGAGAAAGGGTTTGTTCCCAGCTGAGAGCGGAAAATGCTCGCAGAGGAGGGAGGTGGGTCTGAACTTGGGGCTTCCAGGCAAATCACCCACTCAAAGGCAGGGCAGTGCATGCAACTCCAGCTCCCCAAAACCTCACTGCACAGCCCAGCTCCTGCCGCCCAGAGCCCAAGGCCTTGGAGACACTGGCAGTCAGTGATCCAGGCTGTTAAAAACCCTTTGCAACCATGTAATGACCCACTGGAACTAACCCTTGTAGTTTGTAAGCCACTGACTGGTCTCTGTGCCCCCCAAGAGGCAGAGAATTTGGCGTCTCAGGTACAAAGCTGAGCCACGGGGGTGGTGTGGGCATTGGTTGCTCAAAGTCAGCTGGGGTGGCAGATTGCAGTTTTCTCAGAATGGTCCAGGCAATATTTTTCATTCCACACGTCTTCTAGAACCTCCTACTCTAATCAAGACTCTCCCCATCTTACTCCTCCTGCTTGAAGCATGGCCAGTAGCATGCGTCTGCAGGATGCTCTGTGGCTTCCAAGGCTGGGTCAGAAGGAGGACCTCCGAAAGCTCCACTGGAGCCCAGCCACCCGGTGAGGAAGCCCAAGCCACTCGGGAGGTCACGTGTTTCCTTTACGCCCATCCCCTGTGGGATGGTATGTGGAGCCAGGAGCTGCACTCTCTCCATGTAGTCCTTGCTAAGTGGCAGATTCATGAGCAAAACAGATATGTCACTATATTAAGCCACTGCGTTTTGGGTATAACTTGTTATGCAGCCACAGTAACTGTAACAGTAAGTGCATAATAATTCCTGCTTGAGAGATGAATAAATGTATACAGAGAGAGTCTTTTCAAAGGCTTCCAGAGACCAGTATATATTTTTAACTTGTTTCCTTTTTTTGGTTAGTCTTCACTGGAGGATATTTTTCCATCGATTTCAGAGAGAGTGGAAGGGAGGGAGGAGAGAGAGAGAGAGAGAGAGAGAGAGAGAGAGAGACATCAATGTGAGAGACCCACATCAATTGGTTGCCTCCCAGGCACGTACCCATGACCAGTATCAAACCAATGACCCTTTGATTCTCAGGCTACGCTCTACCCACTGAGCAACCGACCAGGGCTTTTAACTTTTTATTAAGAACATTTTCAAACCAAAGTAGAGAGAATAACACAATTATCCAGCGTGTACCCATCACACGATTCAGTGATTACCAGCTCTTGACTGATCTTGTTTTTTTAACTCTTTAAAAAAATCTTTATTGTTGAGGGTATTACAGATGCCCCCCCTTTCCCCTTATTGCCCCCTCCACCTGGTTCCCGCCCCACCCCAGGCCTTCACCCCTCTATTGTCTCTGTCCATAGGTAATGTATATATGCATATAAGATCTTTGGTTAATCTCTTCCCAATCCCCCCCCCCCCCCCCGTTCTCTCTGGGACTCTGTGAATCCATGCTGATGTGACAAATGAACACCCTGTCTGGTTATCCTGAGCTAACCTTCCTATTCTTGCCCTTTTTACTGAAAGGAATTATTGTTAATGTATTTATTTAACTCTGAGCCAGACTTCTAAAGGAAAATACAGTCAGCATGAGGCACCTAGCATATGGATCTGTAAAGTAAATGCTAATTAATAATAATTACTGCACTGTGTTACCCAGCTGCATTGTTTTGCCTGACAATTCCCTCAAGGAGGCCTGGCCTTGGGGGAGGAGGCTCCTATCAGGCCAGTGGTGTCTGGCACAGGGGCCTTGGCTGCCCAGGCACAGTGGCAGGACTGGACCTCACAAAGGCCTCAGGGCCTGCTATAAATAAATCACAGCTCAGTGCAAGCTAGCTCAATGCAGCCCTTTCAACTGGCTGCTCCACTCCAAGAACAATCAGGGCTTGGCTGTGCAAACAGGAAGCCCCTCCGGTTCTTCACTGTGGTTCTCAGATCCCTGACACTGGATGGTGTCTGAAGCCCAGGGAGCAAAGAAGGCATCTCCCTCCAAGGCAGGGACAGACAGATCCAAGCCTTTCTTCATGGCTCACCCTGTGTTCCTGATGCAACTCTGCAGGGGAAGATTGTGGACTCTTTATCCCCAAACAGATGAAAAAACCTGCTGCCAAACCATGAGTTAGGAGGATGCTAAATTGAGAGTGCAGGAAATAAAGACCATAAATGGTGTGTAAAGATGGGCACCAGCTTATGACAAACACTCAGCCTTCTGGGTGACACAGAGTGATACATGCAGGTAACAGTGTAGTGTCAGGCATCGGAAATTCCTTCAGAAACTGTAACATGGTTAGGAAAGGAAGGGATATCTCACTTTTTCTGCCCATCTGGAGTCTTCCGGCAGAGTTTCTAGTTTTTCCTCACGGATGAGGGGGGGAGGAGGGCACAGGGTGCTACAGAAGAGGCTTCTTCAGGCTGAGCCGTTTACTTCTGTGAAGGGGACACTTGGTGATTTCTAAACTTTGGAGCTTTCTTACATTTTTTTATTCAGATGGTTTGTGGAAACCTGGCTATTTTGCATCCTCACCAGACCAGCAGGGAAGGAATCTTCAGAGGTGGACAGGGTGAGGTCAGGCTCACGGGAAGAGTCTCAGCCCAAATTTTGAATCTAATTTGGATAATTCCTCCCTCCCTCCTTCATTAAAGGCATTTTTATCAAGCACCGATATGTGCTTTTCTAGGCATTGTAGGTTAAAGTGGACGAAACAGCGGGCGAGGGCGGCAGTGTAGACGTATATCCAGCAACGGAAACGCGTTTCGCTGTCGGGGAGATCACGGGTGTGGATGATGCCCAGCTGCAGACAAAACCTACCAACTTCCGCAACACTGGACTGGGCCCAGCGCGCGTTGGTAGGGACGCGCTCCCACCGTTGCCAGGCCTTGTGGCTGCGTGCGGAGTCTCGCGAGGATCTTCGATACTTCTCGCGAGACCGCCCAGCGGTTGCTGGGAGACAACGCAGCCTCTGCGGAGTGTGAGCTTTTGTCGGCGGGTCGCGGCGGTCGCTGCGGGTCCGGACGCCGGGAGCCATGGTGAGGACGACGCGGAGCCGGCCTCCGGGAGCCGGCCCTGCGCGCAGAGACCCCGAGGGATGCCCTACCTGGACCGGAAGGCTCAGCCCGTCATAGCCTTGGGCTCTCCCAGGGGCCTGGGGCACACGTGTCCCCAAACAGGACAGTGGGGCGCAGGGGATAACCTAGGACCCCCAGTCTCCGGGATGGAGAAACCAGGGCGCCAGGGCGGTTGCAGGTCCCTGTACACACGGGGTCCTGGGCAGAATGTCCATCTTCATGGACGCCCAGGGCAAGGCCAGCGGTGCAGAACTGCTGGTTCCTCGGAGAGGCTGGGAGCAGTCAGACCTCATCTGTCTCTCTCACGTGACAGGGCCGTCCGCTGTCCCCACCGCCGCCCCAACCCATAGAGGCGTTGTGGGTAGCGCAGTTCCCAGGCAGATGCATGGGGCAGGTAGCTGGTGGAGAGGAGTCTGGTGGGGAGCCGCTGCATTTGGCTGTGAATGTCCCAGAAGCTAAGGGTGAGGGACCTCTGATGGCGGACTTCTTGGAGTAGAGGGATTAATTAGTACATTAGGAGGGAAGGTGTCAGTGGATGGGTGTTTGAATATCAACTGGATGAAGGCCACCAAAATACTTCTCCTTGTTACTAGCTTTAGGGACATGATATTCTTTTTGTTTCTCTATGTTTATAAGACTTCCACATAATTGTTTTGTAATCAGAGAGATATAGACACAAAAGTGTTACAGACACATATAGACACACACAAGTGTGGGCCACAGACAGTTGAGAGAAGTGAGGGCAGAGGATAAGGACTTGGAAATTCAGTGTCTGCTCAGGAAGGGAGTGGCCTGGAAGGTTCTGTCATCTGGTCAAAGCCAGTAAAGGAGGCGTGACGGCTGAGCAGGTCCCGTGGGGAACCACGTAGGGCCCCTCGGTGGGTGGGTGCTGTCGTCCCCCAGACCAGGTTCTCGGAGGAGTTTCGTATTTGGAACAAAGACAGTCTCATATTATCGTCCTGATCATTGCTATCAAGGCATTTCTGCCAACACATGTCGAAAGTTTCTTGCGTGATTCTCTGTGGTGGTTGCCAAACAGCCAACGCGGTCACATCTGACGCTGGTATTGGGGCTCTCCCTTTTGAGGCCCAGTGCATTTTGCATCCACACCAAGGCAGTCTCTGCCATGTATTAAGGAGCGGATTTGGTCCAGTTTCCTTCACTTAATCTCTGAGGGGAAAAAATGTTCTCTTCTGAAAAGGAAGATTTCTCCTTCTTGCTGCTCCAAAGGTGTCAGCAGAGAATGTGCGTGTGGTTAAGGGTGGGAGCTTAGGGTAGAGTGATGTGCTGCAGGGGGGTGGGCACAAGACAGTGAG